TTACCGTCCGCCACGCCCTGTGAGATCTTACCGTAGAGCATGCGGAAGACATCAGTGCTTCCGGTGAAGTGAAGAGCGGCGAAGTCGCGGCTTTCCAGGACGGTGCTGGTCACCTCCGCGGCGTCGCCAGGAACAAACTGAATGACGTCCTTGGGGAGACCGGCCTCAAGCAGGATCTGGTGCACGAGCCAGTTGGAGGCAATCGCGGAGGGCGAGGGCTTCCAGATCACGACGTTACCCATCAGAGCGGGTGCACCAGCCAGGTTACCGCCGATAGCGGTGAAGTTGAAGGGGCTGATAGCGTATACGAAACCCTCAAGAGGGCGGTACTCAAGACGGTTCCACACGCCAGTAGCGTTGTGAGCAGGCTGCTGTGCGTAAATCTCCTCGGCGTACTTCACACCGAAACGGAAGAAGTCACAGAGCTCAGCGGCGGAATCAATCTCGGCTTGCCAGGCGTTCTTGCCCTGTCCGTGCATGGTCAAGGCCATAATATCGTAGCGGTACTTGGTCGCAATAAGATCAGCGGCCTTGAGGAAAATGCTAGCACGCTCGGCGAAAGGAGTATCAGCCCAGGACTTGCGAGCGGCGAGAGCCGAATCAATGGCGGACTGAACATCGGCCTTTGACGCGTTGGAGTAAGTTGCCACTGGAGCATGGGTTGCGGGGTTAGACTGTGTGAAGGTTTCATATCCCTTGAGCTGTGTGATTGAATGTCAGAAATTGTCCAGTACATTTAATATTTCTTGCCAGTTCTTACCTCTTTGCCCGCAACTACCAGAGGGACGTTCAAAGGAGCTTGCTGCTTGTAGTTTGCCAAAGCCTCCTCGAGACCCTTGCGATCGGGAGAGCCAGGAACATAGTGTTTCTAAATGTTCAGAATTAGCCCGAATGATCAAACAGTCTAGGTTCCAATATAGAGCTTACGTTGGGCTCATTGTTAATCGTGGGCACCTTGAAAGTGGCATAAGTGCCCATGGAGCGTGTGCTAGCGCTCGGAATGCGGCATGCGAGGCGCGAGATTGGCGCACGGGTACGCAGAATAGAGGACATCATGACGATAGTTTGAAATGAAGATGAATCAACTCTTTCAAGCTTGCAAAGGGAAGATTTGGAGAAAAAGTAGACGCGGGGAAGAGACTAAGATGAAAAGGGCCGGCTACTACCGGTCAGAAGCTCATAGCTACCCTGGTAAGGCGGGCGGGCCTGGGAGTGGCTGGAAATGTCAGCCAATCAGGTGTTGCCGGTAGGTATCCCGGGTGGATCCAACCGGGCCGGCGTCTCTATCGGCTTTAGTCAAGAGAATTCAACCTTGTTCACCGGGCCCCAGTCCTTCATAGAAGTTCTTGTTAGTCAAAAGATAATAAACGATTGACATTCCCCGCAAATCTAGATAAGCATGATAGCGGCAATTAAGTTGCGTTAGACTTGGAAAAATGGAGAAAAGATCAACGGATCGGCGCTGGATGTATACATGGAAAGTACAGCATTGTCTGACAGTATACAATGTACAAAGTCGGCGGAAAACAAAGTCTATAATTATCTTCATTGGTATATTCTAATATGTATATCTATTATCTATATTTCTAGCATCTAGTATCATACGCACGCAAAGTCACCATCTATATAGAAACACTCCGAAAATAACCGCAGACCAAAAACTGTCTATGCAATCCACCACCACACTCGCTCGAGCCAGTTGCGTGGCTGCGGTTGGATCTCCTCTTCTTCAAGTCGGTCGATCTCGTCCTTGCCACTGAAAATGTCAACCTCGGACACCTTGATCATCCATGGAGTCTTGTAATACAACTTATGGCCGAAGTACAGCAGGAAGAAGATCACGAAGACAATATAGGAAACAAGGAAATCCGAGGCGGTAAATGAACCGGGGAAGAATATCGTATAGCCGTTGGTAATAGCCAGTAGTGATACAAAGAAGATAGCGTAGTAAGCCCCATACGGCTGGAAGGGAGTAATGAAGGGCCGCGACTTGAGCAGCCCGTGGAAATCCAAAGCACTGCGGAAACGCTGAAGATATATTGTTAGCAAGATTCTCCATGGAAAGAACAGAAAGACGGCAGTTTAACGTACCAAGTATGCTACTCCCACAACGACCCAAGAGACGAAACCTCCGATTGTAGTGATGTTGGTAAACCAATAAAACACGGTTGCGCCCGAGGAAGACAGATTCAAGAAAGAGAGCAGACCAATCGCCCAAGTGACAAGTACAGCGTAGTACGGAACACCATTTTTGTTGCAGCGAAGGAAAATCTTGGGAGCCTGGCCCTCGCCCGCAAGCGAGTAAAGAGTGCGAGACCCAGCAAAGACCCAAGAGTTACCCGAGGAGAAGGCAGATATAAGAATTGCAGCGTTGATAACGTGGTTCAGTCCGGAAATACCAGCATTTTGGATGCCGACGACGAATGGAGAAGCTCCAGCACCTGATCCACCGCTAGCAACTCCTTGCAGTAGACCTTTATCATTATATGCGACTGTCACACCAATGACCAAGCTTCCCAAGATATAAAATGCGAACAGACGGTAGATAAATCGATTCGCCGCCTTGGGGATGTTGCGGCGTGGCGAGGCAGCCTCACCGGCAGCGGTGGTGATCAGTTCCGGGGAGAAAATGAAAGAGAATCCGGATTTGATCATAGCGGTCCAGAATGCCAGAAAGCGGCCTGTGCTGATGCCTGGGACTAAGTAAGGCTCCGCAAATGCGCCTGGCGTTTGCCAGTACCGGAAACCAAGACGGTCATGGTTAGGACCGCCGCCGAAGAAAAGTATGACGCCCAGGATGATTAGACCGAGGATCGCGAGGATCTTGAGTGATGCGAACCAGAATTCAGCTTCACCGTACCAAGAGACCGCAACAATGTTCAGAAGGAGGATGACTAAAATGATTTCGTTAGAGGATATCATAAAACACTGGGCTGTTGGGAGAATATGTACTCACCAACGAGAATAATTGCGATCCATACACCCACGCTGACTGGTGATTGCCAATACTCAATGACAAGGCCGGATGCAGTGACTTCTGATGCTAGCAACATTGAAAATGAATACCTACATAGTGGCATTTATTAGTTTGACGGATTTCCATGATCAGGCCTTGACAGGGATAATTACCAGTAATTGTATCCTGGTCTTTTAATCAGCATTGAGAGTAAATCTTTAAAGGTGGGTTCGACATACCAACAGCAAATCCAAGACTGGGCTCCGTAAACCGAGTGATCAAATAAGGCACAGAAATACCCTGAACGGGGAGATAGGTAGTCATTTCAGCAAGCATGTTCATGACAAAGTAAACAATACTTGACATGACAATATAGCCCATGAGCAAAGGAGCTACCACATATTAGCCCCGTATCAAGATTATGTTTTACACGTAGATTATTACCAGGACCAACGGTCGACAGCGCTGCGCCACTGCCAACAAAAAGACCAGTACCGATACAACCACCTAAAGCCAGGAATTGAACATGACGCGAGCTCAAACCTCGCTGAGTATTTGAGTTGTGACCGCCTGTCATCTCTCCCTGTATGGCTTTCGGGTCATCGTACGGAGGGACGGGACGGACCGACGCCTCGGGACTCTTAGAGTCTTCCATGATGCGCGAAAAGAAATGGGAAGTTTGGCTAATCTATAACACAACCTGGGAGACAGAAGAACAGCAATGAGACTGGAAATTCTAGGCAGCGGAGAAGCCTAGATTAACTTGAAATATCCGGGGAAAGACGCAATTCTTATTATGTATACGACGAAGAAATCTAGCCCCCAAAGCGTTATCTTTACAGATGAGATATAGTGCACGCTATGATAGTGTGCTCCAATGGGAGAGAACTACCCACTAAAACGATACTTTTTTCAGCCTAGGGGGATTTAGTCGAGATGTGGAAATGAATTTTCTCCGTCAATCGGCGATATTAAGCGCATGTATCCATCAAGCACTATGAAACGGTAAGCCTATGCCAAAAGAGATTTAGAAGAATGCGCCATTGTGGGGGCGAGTGAGTTTCTGGAGTTGATCAGCATCCGCGTTACCTTTTAGTTCTAGGTGTGGGTGACCTGCCTTATCGATTTTCTATTTGATATATGTAAAATTCCCCCGTGGTCAGTTGTCACATGCCCTTATCTTATCATTGACACATTGTGTCGTGATTCAAAATTCCCACCTGGCCAGTTTTTAGCGTCTGCCAACTTTCTTTTAAGAGTAACGGGGTGGTCTACGATTGGTGGGCAGAATAAATTGACTTTAAACATTTGCCACCCGTTGGCCACTAAAATCACGTGGTGTGAGTATGGGGAAGAATCCGGGGTAAAATAGGCGAACTTGGACTCTAATATAAAAATTAGACATAAAACCTTGGAATGCATCCATGACTTGAAGCAGCTTGCTAGAACCTTCTGAGAAACACTAAGCCGAAAGTAACCGGAAAGTCACGAGAGCAAAAACCTTCTGGAAGACCGGCCCGGTCACATCTACTTATCGCTTATCAGTGGGCCATGTCCCATATCAAACCGGCCCGTAACCGTTCGGCATGTTGAATCTGCGAACCTTCTGTTGGCTGCAGATTACAAGGGAAGAGGCGAATATCAAAGCGTCATTTTCGCTCGGACACTTTGATCTCCCTACCCTTGAATCGATCGTAAATCTTCGTGGCGTTATAATTTCATATCTTGATGTCTGATATAGTTCAAAGAACATATAAAGCATGAATAATAGCAATCCCATCCATATATACATAAATGACAGAACATGCCGGCCCGTCTAGAAGGGACTGCTGACCGTACCGGTGTACCTTGCGGTTGCCACCGGCTCTTACCCAATAAGTTCCACCAACAGATCGCCATATCTAAAAGGTCGTCTTCAACCGTGGCTCTTTTGTTTCTTCAACAATTTTAAGTCTAAGTCTTTCACTTTTGACTTACTTTAAAACTACATCCTTGTCTTCCCTTATCCAATAATCATCTCACCATACTACGTCCAACCGCACCCATGAAAGGTGCACCTTCTGTGCGTGCGCCCCTCAAGGCCGCTGCACAAACCACCAGACTGGTGAGCGGCACCAGCAACTCTCGATCCTCTGTCGCCTCAGTATCAGCCGCCAACGCATGGCAACCACAAACAAAAGCCCCCCTGCGCTACCCCGCAAGGCACTGACAGCACCCCTGGCTAAGCTGCCGTTGTCATCTGTTCTACGCTCCTTGCTAGTTCTGTCTGTTTCGTCATCATCTCTACTTCTCAAACCATGCATCTATACCTTGTCTTTGCTGGCTCATCCTCGCAATGCGTTCTGGGATGTCTCCAAAAACCCATTGCTGAACATGCTTGTCAAGCACACCATCTATAAACAATTTAACGCTGGCGAGAACAAACTCGAGGTGCAAAATTCCATCAATCAAATCAAAAGACTCGGATGCCGTGGTGTACTCCTGGGATATGCCCGAGAGGTCCTCGTTGGCGAGAACTCCGATGCCGCGTACGACGAGAAGGCTGCTCTGGCTGAGATTCAGATGTGGATGGATGGCACCCTGCAGACAGTTGACATGGCTCAACCCGGCGACTTTGTCGCCTTGAAGTATGTCTGATGTCCTTTGTTCTGAGTTTGAAACAGTCACTAACCGAACTTCTCAGGTTCACTGGAATGGGCAACGATGCTCTTCGCCTGTTGCAGTCGCAGACCATGCCCACAGAAATCATGGACAACTCTATCCTCAAGGTCTGCGATCTCGCCATCTCCCGTGGCGTCCGCCTGCTGGTCGATGCCGAAGAGCAGGCCGTGCAGCCCGGCATTGAGGCCTGGATCATGAAGTATCAGAAATACTGCAACTCGCAGACCCCCGGCCGTGCTATCTTCTATGGAACTTACCAAGCCTACCTGCGCTCTACCCCTGCCACTCTGGCCCGTCACCTTGAGACTGCTCGCGCTGAGGGATACACCCTTGGCGTCAAGCTGGTCCGCGGTGCCTACATGAAGACTGAACCCCGCCACCTCATCTGGGCCGAGAAAGAGGAGACTGACAAGTGCTACGACGAAGTCGTCGAGGCCCTCCTCACTCGCAAGTACAACTCCATGCTCAAGGCTCCCTCAAAGGAAACCCCTACCGAACTCCCGCCCCTGAATATCATCATTGCTACTCACAGCCGTGAGTCCGTTCGCAAGGCTCATGCTCTGCGCATGCAGCAGGCTGCCCGTGGCGAGGACTACGGTGTCGATGTTAGCTATGCTCAGCTCCAGGGCATGGCCGACGAGGTCAGCTGTGAATTGCTTCAAGGATTCGAGAGTGCCGAGAACACTGTCGGCGTTACCCCCATGGATGCCCCCAACGTCTTCAAGCTGTTGACCTGGGGCTCGGTTCAGGAATGCATGGGCTTCTTGCTTCGTCGTGCTGTGGAGAACACCGAGGCCGTTGGCCGCACCAAGGACTCTCAGATCGCAATGTTCGCCGAGTTGAAGCGTCGCTGTGCCAATGCTTTCCGCAGCAGCAAGTGATATTCGAGTCTTTCCTGATTTTCCTTTCCGACTTTCGAAGACTATCTAGATCGTTTTTGTCTCTACTTAGCAGCCCACGGGCTGTTCTGCAGCTTTTTTTTTTTTGTTTTTGTTGCATTTTTATTTGCGTATAATTGGGGTGCATCCTTCATGGCGTCGCTATTGCTTTATGAGAACTTTGGAAGTCCATTCGGATGATGATCAATGAAATGAATGTTTTAAAATGAAGTGACAGTATGCCTAGATTATTTCTTAGTCAAAAGCAGGAATCAAATTAGGAATCAAATTAGGAAATCAGTCCAGAGATTAGTCTAATACTCTCTACTGGCATGTAGTCCCCACCGGGTTAACTTGCCCCTCAGTATGTGTCGGAGGGTCTACCCGATCCCTGACCCCCATATATTCTACGGATCCGTACGCATCGCCTCAAAAGGCATCCCATTGATTTTCTTCTTTCAACTAAAAGGACCTCGAGAAAATCAGTCTTCAAACATTTCACAAATCAATCAAAAACTCAAACAAGATGCACGTCCTCTCCGAACCAAACGTCTCCAAAATATTCCGCGGTCTAACACAAGACCAATGCCACACCTTCATCTCAGCACTCGCCAACGCCCTAATCAGCATAACCCAAGAATCAAAGCCCTCGACCCCATCATCCGCCAAAAAAATCCACCAACCCCTCCGCACAGTCTTCAGCACAAGCAATGACAACACCTGTATCTTCATGCCGGTATCGGACACCGCATCCACCGGCATAAAAGTCGTAACAGCAAGTACCACCGGAATCCAAGGCGTAATCAACATCTTCAACCCAGAAGGCCGACTCCAGGGCCTCCTCGCCGCAGCAGAAGTAACAGCCTTCCGCACCGCACTGGCAACAATGACCCTCTTTGTGCGCTGCACAACGCTCCGCAAGGACACCGTGCTTGTTCTCGGCAGTGGTCGGCAGGCAGAGTGGCATGCGCGTCTTGCGCTCCTGCTGTACCCGGAACAGGTGCGACGGGTGACGTTTGTCAATCGCGGTGCGAAGAGACTGGCCGAGATGGAGAGGGATGTTGTTTCTGAATTGCGGGGTACTTATCCAGGTGTTGTCTTTGGCATGCTTGCTAAGGAGGGTGTTGAGGATTATGAGCAGAGGCTCGGGGAGGAACTTGCTGCTGCGGATGTTATCTTTAGTTGTACGCCTGCTACAGTGCCGAACTTTCGATATGACGCGCTGCAGAAGAATCCTAAGCGGAGGTTTATCTCGCTGATTGGCTCGTACAAGCCTAATATGCATGAGATTGACACAGAGACGCTGCTTTCGGGGGGTGGGAAGGTTTATGTTGATTCCAAGTCTGCTTGTCTTGAGGAGGCTGGGGAGTTGATTACTGCGGGTCTTGGGGAGGAGCAGTTGGTTGAGATGGGGGATCTTTTGGGGGCGGATGGGATTGTGGAGGGGGTGGTTGATGTTCCTGCTGGTTGTAATATTGTCTACAAGTGTGTCGGTATGGGACTGATGGATCTTGTTGTTGGGAAGAAGGTGCTTGATGTTGGGGTTGAGATGGGGCTTGGGACGCATGTCGATGGGTTCTAAAAAGATTTTTGTATTACATTTTAGAAGGACAAATACTATTGTTGATCAGAAGTATGATTGAAACATCTAATCTCATTGCACTCGATAGTGGGCTTTCTTGCATACTGCAAAATAAGCCAGCAAGCTACTGGTGTGGGTTTTGTCGGTCTCAATACTTGAGTAATTCAGGGCCATATCAGAACAAATCACCCCCATGGGATCACCACGAATGCTCAAATCGACGCATATTTCCTTACAGGCATAAGAAAGCCGTATATTTTGTTCGTAAACCTCCTAAGAGCAATCGACAACCTCACTGAAAAGATCTCGGCGTCTATCTTACTACCCAGTTGTGATTACCAGTCGTGACTGATGGCGCTATAGATTTCAATATTGACCAGTCGGGGAAACATGTCCTTAGACCTCACGACGTTCACTAGCTAGTTGATACTGTTACTATAGGAGGGCTCAACTCACCATTGAGTCAAAGAGAGCCGCCCCAGAGAAGGGCGACAGTTGCATAGCCAACGACATCGAGTGGTGGGCTGATACATAGTCGATTGTGTTGTGATACAATGCGGGATACTTCATATCGTCAAGTTGTAATAATGTGTGTATCGGGAGCGGCAACTGCCTCAGTGCACGAAGCGCATTGAAGGTTCCAATGGATGAACTGCCACTCATGTGAAAGTTATACGGCAGCCAGTAGTTGAGGCAAAGAATTTCGAGCGAGTGTGCCTTGGAAGAACTCGTATCTATGAATAACTTGGTGCAAAGCCGGGGATTACAACTGTACCCCTCTCTGTACTTGGGTGGAGAGTGGCTTCGCGCAATCGATGGTGCAAATTGTGCCCGGCTCATCGCGGAACGATTCGAGGTAGGTGATATTTGGTAAGAGATAGATGGTGAGGGCTTGCCAGGCTCTGCGTTTGTCGACAGTTCGAAGATCGCGCAACCATTGTGTTAAGGATTCACCAAACATTTTCATTAATTGCCTTAAGACACCATCAACACTCCTCGTAGTGACTTGGGTTGTATGGTGTCGATCACATGTCCACATTCTGCCCAGCTTGAGACTTTTGACTTTCCCTGCCGCGTACGTTTCTCCACAGCGAGCATTTGCTATAGGGACGATTGCTCTGGAGTATACTTATATGGAAGTAAAACAAAATGAAGATATAAAGAACATTGAAGAGACGGAGAAAGTTGGAGGAGCAAACCAAATAAGCGGAGCGCACAACTCTAGGCAGAACGAAGTAAAAGGAAAGTAAAGGATGACATAGGCCAAGTTATCTAGAGTACAGTTGGCAGTGATATTGAGACATAAGGCCAAATCCTCTCGGGATATGGTACAAGTCCATACCTGTGAAACTGGCATTATATAGTGTTAATGAAGGCATAGAAGTAGCACAAGGTAGTAGATATAAATAAGCCATAGATAATACACAATAAAAACATGAAAAAAACATGAAAAAACATTCGTCAGATAGGTCATCACAGCCCCCAAAAGCCCCCAAAGATAGACCCCAAAATCAGAGGACCGATCAGCGGAGCAAATTGAGTCCGGATATGCGGGGGTGTCCTTTATCGATTAGCTTCCTTTTTTTCTCCTCACAAGGCCACTTACCAAGCTGGGGCATTCCGGTCTGACATATCTTTTCAATTTCCAATCTCCCTTTCTTTTCTCTTCTATATCAGACAATGCCCTGGTCCACACTGTAATGGACGACTCGACACCGACGCCCACCCAGCAAAAACGTCCTCGCGTGGCCGAAGAAAACCGCAAGCGAGCTGTCCGAGCGTATGCTGTCGCCCTATATCAATTAAATATCCTCTAATACGGTTCTGCGCAGGTGCGATGGTTGCCGCCGGGTGAAAGAGAAATGCGAAGGAGGTGTGCCGTGTCGGCGATGTCTGCGATACCGCCGCCAGTGCAATTTTACTCACATCGACCCCAATGAAAAGACCCGGTCAACGTCCGTCTCGTAGGTTGACCGCATGCCCATTTTCTACCATAAAATAGACTGCTAATGGCGCAACACCTACGATCAGACTTTTGGACCGAGCAGCCGCCCAGAGTCGAAATGACATCGCCGAGGCAGAACGAGTGCGCCTGATGGAACGTCTCCTATCGCATTATGTACCCAATATCACTTTCGATCTTCAGTCTCTGCGCCAGGCTGCAGAGGATCTGAAGAGCAAACACCGCGGTTCCGAGTCGGATGCGATCTCTACCCGTGAAGACCCCAATGAGCTGGAGGATCTTGCTATTGATGAGGAGGATTTTACAATCAAGGCTATGCCCGATAACACAACCCGTATGGACACCTGGAGACCATACATGGAATCTTTTTGATTAACAGTATTTATTAGAATATTCCGGGGAATTTTCATACTTGAATTTCACAATGAAGATCCGGAAGAAGATCGATGAGTGGATGAAGACTGCGGCACCCGAGGTAGGTTTCCCGTGAATTGTCGGTGAAGACATGCTAAAACTGCCCCCGCAGGCAACTTCCGAAGTTGAGCCCTTTGAAGAACGATGGCGAAGTACACAACTTCAGTCCACGTCACCTCAGGTGTCTTCCTCAATTACATGTCTGCCACCGCGATATGTCGCCGATTTTCTTGTCCAGATCTTCTTCAAGTACGCACAAACCAATAATTTCTACATTGAGGAAGACTGGTTACTTGAGAAAATGGGCATCTGCTACACTGATCCTGGAAGTTTGTCATTTGACGATGCAGGCGCGGTGTGCTGTATTCTTATGGTTCTGGCTGTGGGCACTCAATTCGCACATATGGAGTCATCCACACCCGTGAATTGCTTGCCTTCGGGCTCTACAGCAAACCAAGACCATCACTTTTCGGAGGATGAGGTCGGACTCACATTCTACCAATTTGCCTCGAGGCTTCTACCAGACATCATCGCCACCGCTTCGGTTCGAAGTGTGCAGGCCTGTTTACTTATTGGGACGTACTTGCTTCCGCTGGACACTTCCGGATTATGCTATACATACTTTGGTCTGGCACTGAATTTGGCTATTCAAAATGGAATGCATCGGAGGTATCACGGCGAAGGCCTGTCCCCGCGTATGATCGAAGTGCGCAATCGAGTTTTCTGGACCGCGTTTACTATCGAAAAGCGTGTAAGCATTCTCCACGGCAGACCATCTTCGTTGTCAGATTCCGACGTTGATGCTCCCCTACCGGTCGATTTCCCCGGGTTGATGCCCGTCAATCAAATATCAAACCATACAAACATGGTAACACTCATCACATTGACTTTGAAGCTTGGGGAGGTTTCACATGAAATTACCTCGCTGAGAAAATTCCGCAAAGAGCAACAGCAGGACTGTCTTGAACGAATACTGAATCTCCGGAAACATCTTGTCGATTGGTGGTCGACTCTGCCAGAAGAGATTACCTGTCGTGATCTGAGTCCCGGAGGACCGCTTTTCCGATCGAATGTCCATCTCAAGCTAGACTACTGTCTAACTCGGGTCTTCATTGGACGCCCTTTCCTTTTTAGTAATATCAAAGGCATCTACCAGACCCCCTCTCAAGGCCCGCGGTCTTCCGGTCTGTCCGGCGTGTCAAAGAATCGTGCGACTCTTGTTACAGACTGCGTGGAAGCAGCTCTAGAAATCATCGATTTGTGCCGCTTGCTTCGTGATGAGACTGGTCTTGCGCGAGCCTCGTTCACCGAATTTAGTTCATGCCGCGCGGCCTTGCTGGTCATTTTGGCACAGGGCCTCACTAAACGAACCGAAAGGCTTGGTGCTGCCCTCGAACAGGGAATTTCCCTGATCAAGATCATGTCTATGGGTGTTGGCTCAGCCCGTTCAGCTGTCAGTGTCATAGAGGCTCTCGAACGTGCCATTCGCCGTCTCGAAGCATGGAGCGAGACACAACCGGATATGAGCAGCGGAGGTGCCGTCGAATCTGCCTATGACCGGTTCAAGAATTGGGAGATGCTTTGGAAAGCAGGGCCTATCTCGCCGTCCACGCTCGCGTGGCAACAGCAAGAAGCTTATGCTTCAAGTGACCACAATGTTCCGCAAAGTGTACAATCGCAACCTTCTACTATGGCAGGTCCTGCCACTCTTCTCCATGGCATGTCTTTAACACCTCCTTCTGCTCCCATGATTGGCGTCGGTGGTGCTGTTCCAACACCCGCTGCACCCGATCAGAGCATTCCCGAAGGCGAAGAAGTTCCACTCTCCGATGGTTTCTCCATTTCTCAGCAGTCGCTTTCACAAATGCCGCACTTTGGCTTCGATCATTTCGTTTCCAATTTCCCGCAAGAGCTGGGCGAGTTCACTGCTATTCCTTGCTTCGAGCCAGATTCCCAGACTCAATCTAATAGTTTGCCTGGTGGTGAAATGAAGACGCCAGGTAGCAGGTCTGACCCCCCTCACTGGCTGCACTTCATGAATCCGTCATGAATTTTTCTATCGTGCTTTGTTCTGAAACAGCGACTCATCTTACAACATGTTTGGGTTGGATCTTATGACTTCTATTTTCGTTTTCTTGGTATACCATCTTGCGAGTGTTTTTACGTTTCACTGCTATTTCTTGCGCCTGGGTGGTGGAGCTCTCGGAGATTGTGCACAGCTTATTCCCAATCATTTCGTATTTAATGCAATCAATCTTTTACTTTGTCTTACTCGGGTGGCTTGCAATTTATATGCACACAGGATATTTGGATATCCGCTCATTTGCTTGCGATGATACTTCAAACATTGATTCATAAATATACACAATACCCATAACCCTAATCGAACGTAACCTTCTTTCCAGAGAAAGTAGCCTGGACCTGCTCCTTGGCCTTCCGCTTTGCCTCCCAAGAAGGATGCAATGGGCCTTCATCCTTAGGGGGACCTTTAGGCTTGCCACCATGCCCAGAGCGAGGAGCACCAGCAGGGCCATCTGTGTCTTGGGACCGTCCAGCTCCACCCCCGAAACCACCACGTCGGCCCCCTCTCCCTCCTCTCCCTCCTCTGGTACCATCAGTTGCACCGCGCTTCGTATCCCATCCATTATCTCTACCACCATACTTCGCAGCCAGCTGTTCCTGCTTGACGTGGTTCGCAGTAGCTCCGTACTTCTTCTCCCATAAAGCCCGACGCGCCTGCTGACCCATACGGTTCTTGCGCACAGGCTTCGCACCGGAACTTTCCTCATCGGAGGCTTCTTCCGAGCCAGACCAGTACCCACTCATTAGAGTCGGCAGGAATGTCGTACTTTTCACTGGCGCAGCAGCGCCCTTGGCTGCCTTTACTTTTTTGGTTGGTGGGGAGTCCGCAGCGGAGAAGGATGGTGATGGTGAACGGGAGATAGAGTCTGAGATATCGCCTGCGACGCGGTCTTCCTCGTCGTCGGATTCCGAGTCAGCTTCGGAGTCTGAGCCTGGTCCAAGTCGCGAGTTGAATTGTGAGATGTCTTCGTCCCCAGATTCATCGGAGTCGGAAATGTCCATGTCGTTCGCGGGCCGGGAGACCTGCTCGCCGCGCCTGGGTTTTGACGTCGCCTCTGATTCAGACTCGGACCCGTCGTTTTCCTTTCGTGTCTTCTTTGCTGGGGCATCCTTCTTCTTATCCTCTCTTGTCGTCTTGGTCGGCAACTCGTCGACTCTCAGTAGTTTACGAATACCGGCCATGATGCCGGGCATTTCTTTTTGCACGGGAGTCGATTTGAATAGTCGCGCTAGGATATTGGCTTCGGCGGTACTCTTCGGTCCTTCTAGAGAGACTTTCTTGACAGCCTGGAACTCGCCGAACGTCCGCGTTTCTGCAATCCGCTTCGTCCTGATAAGTTGCTTGAACAGGTATCGTTCGGATGTGACATGGTAATCAAGACCCTGTTAAAATAGATATTAGCGATCGAGTTCTGGGTGAAAACTATTCACAAAGCCACACTAGTAAAACTGGCTATATACCTTCAAAGTCTCGATTTCTTCCTTTAGACGCGCCAACGCCT